TAGGTTGCTGAAAAGTTAGTTTGGATCATTCTAGACTCATTCATGATCCTCCTACGTATTCCCAATCCTTGAAGCCAGAAGCACCAGCCGGGATGATGACTAACTCGAGCTAGTCCAAACCTGAAGTAATCTGAGGGAGTTCATAATCCAGCTCCATGTGAAAGCGCTGCAACTTACTTCACTGCTGCTATGTCCTTGATTATGTTACTTCAAACTAGTGATTTGATGTTTTATTGCTTTAGTTTTCATATTTACTATTATCCTTATCCTCTAATAAATTGTTCTACACTTGAAGGGATGATTTGTCTCTTTGTTTTCCTTCTACATGAAAGTAGTTATCCCTTACAAGTTTAATATAGTAATTATCTCTTAAAACTTTAAGCTGGTTCATTTTAGTTTAGCCTAATAGTGACACTAAGTTTTGTGGAGCAGACCAAAAATTGATTAAAGGGAATAAGGGAAAAAAGTTTCCTGTACAGAAACTGCCACAAAGTCCATCACAAATAAAAAAGCAAATACTCTTAATGAGAAAAATTTAAAATCTTCATTGACTCTCCAAATAATTAATATAAGTAGGAATGTTAAAGCAAGAAAAAAGGCTGCGAAGCAAAGCGCAAGGAAGCAGCCAGCTGACTGCCCCCTTCCACCCGGCCTTCCTTTGCTGTGTGAATAAGGTCTTAGTCTGTATGGGCATTCTGGGCAGACCGCAATAAGTCGCTAGTCAAAGGTTTAGACCAATTGCAATTCATCACCATCTTGCCCGCCTCCAATTTGATGACTGGCTATTATTTTAAGTGTTGACCTAAGCCCCTGGGCTCGGCTCTAACTGTACGTGAGCTGTCTCGTACGGCTCTTCCTAAGAACTTGAAGCCCCCTCTCTCTAAATAGAAAAAAAATGTATTTACAAGAAAAAAAAACTTCTTTCAAAAAAGCCATAAATACACGTTGATTTCTCTAAAAATAGTCCCAGTTAAATATCAATTATTTGTTTAACTATAAGAAGAGAGAGTACCAAAAGGAAAAAATGTTTTGAAGTTAATTAGAAGCAATGTTCAGCAAAAGCGAGAAGCTCACAAAGCGAGAAGTTCCATGGGGCATGAAGCGAAAAGTAAGAAGTGAAGCACATGCATCTTTCAATTGAATCACACAGTTTAAGTAAATAAAATTAAATCAAATTACAATTAACATTACAAATTCAAGTACCAAATATACCGTATTGCTGATATTAATTCAACTCCTTTATGTTGGGATTTAGTTAATCGTTCCTGTTGTGTGTCATTATTTAAAGTGCTCATTTCTCTAAAGAATGAAAGAAAACAAAAATACTTGGATGGGGATGAGGTGGTTACCAGCGGCAGTGAGGGAGATGGGGGTGGCGGTGGGGAGTGCCTGCTGTGGCTGGATGGTGGTGTGTTGACGGTTTAGGGTTTATGTGGGG